CCAGCAACCCTCCTCAGACACCGTGGAGATCAGGCAACCTCGCTGCACTCAAGCGAGGGGAAGAGAGAGAGAGCCAAGGGGCGCCACCACCCCGCCACCGCCTGCAATCATTAGGAAGGGTGGCGTAACCCTCAATGGCGGCAGAGTAGGGTCCGTTTGGCCCTCTTCGAGACCTTGCAGGGCCTAGGCCATGCTCTAGCAAGGTCACAGCCCCTTAGAATTTCTGGTGGCTAGGGGCACCACAGCCCTAGTGAATGTCATGCCCCACTCATATTGGATGTTAAATTATATTTCGAGTTTGAGTCGTGTACGAAACTCAATCTGTTTGGAGGATTCTATTTTGTTCAAAAAAATATATGTTGTGGCCTTGTAATCCGAATCAAATTTTGATTCTTGGCAGAGGAAGTTGATTTTTTTTTTTTATGTTCAAGAAGGTTATCTTTGATCGGTTTGACTTCTTGGATTTTCTTTATATTGCCTATAGAAGGAGGCACTTCTTTTGGATATGTACAGAAAGTAAAACATAGGGTTTTACTTTTTCCACTTTCTTTTCTGTGGAAGCCACGCAGTGAAGGGATTTTCGAGCGCACAGTAAACTTCTAAAAGCTGTAGTTGAGCTTTTGCTTGGTCGTAGGCAGGAGTTTGAACATCCGGAGATGAAAGACATAATGGGTGGACCACCCAAGATGGGCCAAACCCGGCCTGTGAGCCACAAGGGCTCACAAGGTAGTTATTTGCCTCTCACTATAAATAATAGGCAGCCCTTGGAAAAACTAATGTGTTTTTTCATATGCGAAAGAACACACTCCTTCGAACATAACGTTATCTCTGTTTTTCCTTCGGAAAGCAAACGAGTACGAAAGACGATCGAAGAACTCTCAAGCGCAAAGTGGCACTTAATCTGTGACAATACCGGGTATGTTCGTTGCATGATATGCCTGTACGATCGATGATACAAGTTGATGGTCATCGGGCACGTTTTCCGCATTGATCGAATTCGTTTCGAATATGTTTCGAATGTGTCGATCAGGGATTGAGTTTTCCCAACATTGGTATCAGAGCCACGCTTACTTGTTTCCCGATCATGCATGTGTATTGTCTCTAACATTAAAGTGTATACCGCTTGTTTTTTCGTTTCGGCCTCGTTTTTTTGTTCTTTTTCTTCGCGTCGCCGAACTGTTCATGCATGTTTCGATTTCTGTTTTTCGTCAAAACTTGAATTTTATTGCATAGACAGAAAGTGCTCGTCGAGACGAGCAAAATGAGGGGCGGCGCATTGCCGGAGGAGTTCGCACGCGCCCTCACACGCCGACAAGGGCCGTGGGCGCGACGGCACGTGAGGCCCATGTGCGGCCGTGACGAAACGGCGCGTCGGTCGTCGCCAACCGCCGACGATAACGTTAGCGTGACGTCATCGGAGCGCGGATCCAGGTTTGACCCGGATCCCGACCTAAGACCCGACCCGTGACAGACCCGGTTGACCGTTGACCCGACCCGGTTGACCGTCAATGGTCAACGGTCGGACCAGTCAAACCGGACCGGTTCAGACCGGGCAGAATGACCCCATTTTGTTCTTTCGGCCCGTTCGAGCTCATTTGAACTCCGATTTGGGCATTCTTGGTATCGACGTGCTCATATCGGAATGCTCTACGTTATGGTATATTCATATTACATGTTTGCTGCACTTATGAATGTGAAAATGCACGATAAACCCTATGTACACGTACTTAGGGGTATATTCTTTGGCATTTTCTCTAGTATTTCTCTATAGTTTTTGAAATACAAGTGTTAGATAATATGTATATGAATAAGCATTCCTTGTCTTAATGTATCGTGGATTATAAGTAATCCCTTTGTAAACCTACTGATTATTATTCTCTTTGAGTATTTAGATGTCCAGTATATGCACATGTTAGTGAAGGCAAATTAGAGCCTAGAGCAAAAAAATGCATCTTTCTTGGTTATGCTTCTGGTGTAAAGAGTTATAGACTTTGGTGTGCTAATTCATCTAAGATTATTATTAGCAGAGACATTACTTTTGATGAGTCAGCTATGCTTCATTTTAGCAAGGAGTCATGTGTTCCTTGTCATGAAAATCTTAAAAAGTGTTGCGGAAAATGTGGAGCTTGAAGTAATTTCTTTGCAACCAGTTCAGTCGTCTATTGATAATATTGAGATTGAAGAACCTGAGGAAGAACATGTTTGTCTATTGAAAAAGTCTATATATGGCTCGAAGCAATCACCTAGACAGTGGTATAAAAGGTTTGATTCGTTTATGGTGCAACTTGGCTATTGTAAGAGCAAATTTGATAATTGTGTATATCTGTGCAAACTTCCAAGTGGCTCTATCATTTATCTGTTATTATATGTCGATGACATGTTGATTGCAGCAAAAGATAAATCTAATATATAGAATTTGAAGGCACATTTAAGCGCTGAATTTGATATGTAGGATTTAGGTGTATCGAAGAAAATCCTTGGCATGGAAATTCGGTGAGATCGGAAAAGAGAAAAAAATGTATCTTTCCCAGAAAAATTATATTGAGAAGGTTATAGATCATTTTGGCATGAAAGATGCAAAATCAGTAAGTACTCCTCTTACTGCTTATTTTAAATTATTAGCTGATTTATGTGCACAAACAATGAGGATAGAAAATATATGTCATTTGTTCCATACTCTAGAACAGTTGGCAGCCTTAGGTATGCCATGATTTGTACTTGACCTAATATTTCACATGCTATTAGCATGGTAAGTAGATATTTATCATGCCCAGGAAAAGCTCGTTGGCAAGTTGTGAAGTGGAATTTGAGATATTTGAAGGGTACTTCTAATTTTGGTTTAGAGTTTGGGAAAACTAGTGTTACTCTTACATGATAGGTTGATTCTGATTATGATGGTGACATTGATAAGAGGAGGTCTTTAACTGGGTACATCTTTACTATTGGAGGTTGTGCAGTCAGTTGGAAAGCTACATTACAGCATTCAGTTGCTTTGTCTACTATAGAGGCAAAGTACATGACTATTACAAAGGCAGTTAGAGAGGCTTATTTGGAGAGCTCAGTGTTGGTCATGGTGCGACTGTTGTCCATTGTGTTAGTCAGAGTGCTATACATCTTACTAAAGATCATATGTATCATGAGAGGACAAAGCACATTAATGTGCGGCATCACTTTATTCGAGACACTCTTGCTGATGGCTATATCAAGGTCTTGAAAATTGGTACAGAAAATAATCCAGCTGATATGCTAACGAAGCCCCTGCCTATTGCTAAATTCAAGCATTGCTTGGATTTGGTTAATGTTTGCTGCAACTGAGTTTTACTCTAATGGGAGGAGAAGATTGTTTATTGTTGATGTAGAATTTAAGCCAAGGTGGAGATTTGTTGAGTATGTCTTAATTCTTTGTGGGCTTAGGCCAACGTTAGGGTTTGGGGGCAATATAAATATTGTTTTTTTCTCAAATTATTAGGTTAAGAAGTTGAGACAGAAAGAGTCTGTAGCTATTGAGCCACATTTTGTAATCCTCAATATTCTATAGTGGATTTTGCTTCTCCTCTCACTGTGGTTTTTCCCTCAACGAGATTTCCACGTAAATTTTGGTGTTCTTTATTCTTCTCAGTTTTAATTTCATTATTGTTTCCGCATCAATCATAACACTTACCAATCTCAAGTATCAACGTGTGAATAATTTTGCTTTCATAGCATTGTTTTTTTTTTTTTTGGTAACCGAGGATCCGCCACCATTCCCTGCGGACGAGCCCGCACAGGTAATCGGGGCGCCTATATCTCGGGGGAGACTAGCCCAGCAACCCACCGCCAGGGCCCCCCACTTAAATTACGAAACCGAGCGGGGATTCGAACCCAGGCTTTCATAGCATTGTTTAACTCAAGTAAATTCATCATTCTGATATACAACTGCATCTTATGTAATTTTCTGCATTACTTTGGTTTTGTTCATTTGCTGTAAGGATTGAGAGTTTGTATAAGTCCGAACTTGGAATGTGGCCACCAAACATTAATCATCTCTTTATTCCATTATAAATTAATAGTGGTTTGCCTGTTTCACTCAACTTTTTCAACGCAAGAAGAGATGACACTAGCATAGAGTTCCATTGAGAGGAAGAGAGAGTCTATACAGGATGCCTCTTCTTGGCCTCTGATAATGCTTAAAACTGGTGTTTGTACTTCGAGAGTCGAGATGCTTAAAAAATCATGAATCAGCCCCTGTTACGGAATTAAACATATGCTTCCTGTAGCATTTAAATGTTAAGACAAAAGAATAGTGTTATTGAGGTTCTACTTATGTAATATTCTAGCTTGGCCAAACTTATATTTTTGTTTCACGAGTTATTGCACCGGTATTTTCAGCAAATTCGACCAGCTAGCCAAGGCATGCACGTGGTTGTTGGAAGGCAGTACTTGGAAACCTTTTAAAGCCAATGCAAGGAGATTATCATCAAGTTTATAATTTTTCGATAGTAGTCCTGAAGATCGATTTTTCGATAACATCCAACAAATAAGGCTAATCCTTGGAGATCATTTGATAAAGCAAATTGTTCTCTTTATTTCGTTTGATAGCCTAGAGTACAGACAGATTCTCCCTCCAATATAATTACAGCAATCAAATGGCGGTAGTGAGAGTGTAAAATTCGAACTTGGCATCTAAAGTTAAAATCTGAAAATTTCAAAAGACGAAAAGTAAAGTGGGAATCCTTCACGTCCAAAATCGAATGACTAATTCTCAATGAGAACGGGCTTAGAAAGAAGAGGTGGTTGAAGTTGTAGAATGGTTCAATAATCACATGGAAAATAAACAATTGTTATAGACTTATTAAGCGCTGTTCCTGGCTTCAGCTGCTTCCCACAGGCCAGTTGACGGGGACTAAGTCAAATGACTAACTACTATAAATAGACTTGCTGCAGATGCAGTATTTCACAACAATCCTCAACAGAACAGAGTTTCCGAGACAGACTAATCCTAGCTCAGAAATTTTTCCATAATGAAGTTCCTTCTAACATTTGTCCTCTTGGCTTTGGCATCATCCCATGCCTTTGCCTCTGACCCGAGTCCTCTTCAGGACTTCTGTGTAGCCATCAACGACCCCAACTCTGCGGTGCTTGTGAATGGAAAGTTCTGCAAGGACCCGAAGCTTGCAATAGCAGATGATTTCGTCTTCACAAAGTTTAGATATCCTGGGAACACATCGAATCAGCTTGGATCCAAAGTAACGACTGCTTTCGTCGACCAATTCCCAGGACTCAACACTCTTGGCATCGCCACGGCCCGCCTTGACTTTGCTCCGTACGGTCTAAACCCTCCCCACATTCATCCTCGTGGCACCGAGATGCTAGTGGTCGTGGAGGGTACGCTCTACGTTGGTTTTGTCACATCCAACCAATTGAACAACACTCTCGTCACCAAAGTCTTGACCAAAGGAGATGTTTTCGTGTTTCCGCAAGGCCTCATTCACTTCCAGCTGAATATTGGACAAACTAATGCACTAGCCTTTGCTTTCTTGAGCAGCCAGAACCCGGGACTCATAACCATAGCAAATTCAGTTTTTGGATCGAAGCCGCTGATCAATGTTGATGTCCTTACAAAGGCTTTCCAAGTGGACAACAAACTGATCAACTATCTCCAGACACAGAACTGGTTTGACAACCATTAGACAGATGTTCACTAGAGCAATTGTGTTTTTTCATGACATTACAAAGATGAATTCTGTTGAATAAGATACTGACTTTGGGGTACTAGTACAATTGCTTGTTATCTGTGCTATTGATAAGATTCCACTGTTTGTTCTCTCTCTCTCTCTCTCTCTCTCTCTCTCTCTCGTAAATCGTTCAAGGGCTGAGATGAAAAACTAATTCAAGATCTTTTTCCATCATGCTCGCTCCAGGTCTCTGACTAACTTCTCAAACGAGATATATTACTGGATCACTCCATACCAATCTCAAGTATCAGCGTGTGAATAATTCTGCTTTTTTAGCATTGTTTGACTCAAGTAAATTCATCATTCCGATATAGCACTGCATCTTATATAATATATGCTTGCTCCCTGTAACATTTAAATGTTAAGACAAAAGAATAGTGTTATTGAGGTCTTCTTATGTAATATTCTAGCTTGGCCAAACATCATATCTTTGTTTTGACGTGTTATTGCACCGTTATTTTCAGCAAACTTGACCGGCTAGCCAAGGCATGCATGTGGTTGTGCACAGGCGGTACTTGGAAACCTTTTCAAGCCAATACGAGGTTGTAAAGTTTAACATAGACTACTTCCATATGAGATTATGTGAATAGTTTAAGCTGCAGAGGAGGAATTCAAACTAACTGCCACATGGTCGTAGTTGTTTTGGAATTTACCGAAGCTTCTGAATAAGACTTGGTGATCTGCAGTGCAACTTGTTCAATAAACTAGAGAGAGTTTCTTATAAAGAATGATCTTTTATTACTCAAACAATCATGATCAATTACATGGAGAGGATTCTTCTATTGCGAAGCAATTATCAATCTCAACAATCATGCATGTAGAGAACACAGGGGTAATCAGACGTCTTGGAGGTCAATTAAGTGGAGGTGGTCAACAACCTTCTTGTCCACTTGGAAGTCATTGGGTGGTCTTCGGCCTCTCTTACCCCAAAATCTAGCTCAAAGGATGAGATTTTGCCTCTCAATTATAAATTAACCACCTACGCCTTCCACAACCGATGTGAGATAATCTCAACTAGCGAAGATAAGGTTATAAGCTAAAACAAATCAATATGTCAAGTTAAGAAACTATGGAAAAAGAGACTTGTTATAACAAAATTTCGCTCTTCTACCAAAATTTCGAAGAAGCAGGTGCCTTTTGGCTCATAGAGAACGTTTAAGTCATGAAATTCTTCATAATATTCATAGTTTTATTCGTCAAAGACAGAAAAATTTGATTGTTGCTGAACATTCAGTACTTAAAATGTTTTGAAGAAAGATGTCACGCCCCGAACCCATCGAGCACACGACACCCTCTACTGGTCTCTTCAGGCGACGTCCCAGGGTATCGCTGACCTCACTTATCATTTTCAGAGATTTAAATCAACAGCGGAAACCACGAATTTCCCGGACAATTAAAACTGGGATAATCAGGGAGAATATACATATTCATTTCTGACTATCAAACTTATACAATATTCACAATTTACAAAACCACCACATATACAAGCACACCAAACTACGATCCACCAATTTACATAAGCACACCGTACTACAACCATCAATATCAAAAAGGATCGATGACCTGGATGTCCTATCCTCAAAAATGGTACTCCTCTAAAGACCTATCTCCAACCCCTATGCTAGCCCCTACGCCCCTTACTCGGCGTCCACTCTGAATCAGACTCCTCATCATCCGAATCTAAGTCCCCTTGGACGGTCTGCTCCTCCGAGGACTCCGGCTCGGCCTCAATCTCGATTGGGTGATTTATATCACCCAATTCAGCTGGAACTTCGTCCTGATCTCCCTCGACCGGCTCCTCAAGGAAACCATCCTCAGGCACGAAATTAGGGTCCATCCACTGCTCAAACGGAAGTATATAATCCGGTTCTTCGTCAGGCTCTGCAGACTTAGCAGGCTCATTCTCGGGTTCCGCCTCGGGCTCTACCTCCTCTGGTTCTTCCTCGGGAATTGGCTCTAGATCTATATCCATTGGGTCGACTTCTGCTTGCGATCCTTCGGGCTCGGGTTCGTGCTCAGCCGCTGAAGATTCCTGTGCTGCAGGTGTTGGATGCAATCCAGATTGCGCTAAACTAGTTTCCGCACTAGTCAATTCTCCGTCTATAGGGAGAATAGTAGACGGGTCCCAATCCCCAACCAAATCAAAAGGAACATCAAAACCCCTGATGGGCCCGAACTCATCGACTCCATCCCGGAAGAACCAGGCAGTGTATACATGGGTCTCCCATAAAGGTAGTCCTACTTCTACAAAGACCGTAGTAGTGTGCTTAATCCAGGTCATGTTGTCGCCCATACGAAACTCTACAACCTCATACTCGGTGTGCACTGCTACTCCAAAACGTTTCGGCGGCGGCGGCGGGGGATTCATGGTTCCTGCCGGGGTTCTGAAATGTTGGGTTGCAACTACCGTGAGAATATATCTAAGTAAGTACACCCTTAAACCCCACCTAGGCTATCACGTACCTCTAGACAATCATAGAACACAATCACACACACAATCATCACATAGCAGGCACATCAATTGTTCTTACCTGGTCCTAACCTGCTTGCACCCTGCCCGTCAGTCTTTACCACACCATATACAATCACATGCATGATCAAATCTCATTTAACGCATTCATTCCGTTTTCATCATGTCTTTTCCACATCCTCGCCAGTGACCCGCGTTACAGTACACGCCTCAGGTCCACTGCGACTATCTCATCACAACACTCCAGGGCCCGCGTTACAGTACACGCCTCAGGCCATGGATCTTGCCCGCGTTGCAGTACACACCTCAGGCTCAACATCTACCACCTACTGCACAACCCGCGTTGAAGTACACGCCTCAGGCTGATAGTCTTCCGATAATACCGGGCATCGTCCCGCGTTGCAGTACACGCCTCAGGACGGCACAATTTCCACAATCGCACATGCCACACCATATTCACTCTCTTACTCATGCACATACTCAACAATCATTTGCCACACGTAATTGGCCCGTCACACGTGGCCCGTGCACGCATCAATTCACACACAATTCATGCTCACTAAGCATTTGACATGGCCAACTTAACAATTAATTCAATTTGGCCCAAGCGTGCACCCGATAGGCATATTTCAATCATTTAATTACACAACCATGCACTCAATTTTATCCCCACAACTCAGTCATAGTTCAAACACACATTAAACACACAATTTGCCATTTTTCTCCAACCAAACGGCGGCAAATCAATTCCGGCCCTTCACGACACTTTCCCACAACTAATTGCCGGTTCTAAATATCCAATTTACACCCCGATCGGCACATCACAGCCCACCGAACGGCCAATCACAGCCACCTATTGACCTCAAAATTTCCATTAAAAATTTTCCGAGTTCAATCCTAGGGCCGCTAATCGATTCCGCTCCTAAATCGTACAATTTCACACTCACATAAACCCGATTTCAACCAAAAATTATCCGTCGATACCCGACGTCCTAAATTGAGTTTAGGGCGTGACTTACCGAGTTCTAGACTAACGCGGCTAGAACGGAAAGCGGCGGCGAACGGCGGGGACGGCTGCGAGCAGCGGCGTGGCTTGGCGGCGTGGACGGCAAAGGCGGTGGCAAGCGGCGGTGGCCTTCCTTGGCCGACCAGCTCACGGCCAAGAGAGAGAGAATCGGGAGGGAGAGGGGACGCGTGAGGGTCGGGGCTGCTCGGTGGCGTGGACGGCGGCGACCAGACTGGCATGACCGGCGGCGGCGGTGAGGGTGCGGCGACGAGCGGCCAAAGGGGGCGATCGGCAATGGAGGAAGGGGGAGAGAGAGTGGCCGAGAGCTTGGGGGAGAGAGAGAGAGAGAGGGGGTCTAGACTTAAATAGTGAATTTTGACCCAAAATGGCAAATGACCATCATGCCCTTGTCTCATAAACCAAATCGACGGTCCAGATTTGATCTTATCTTGAAACCGACGGTCGAGATCGAATCTTACCCAAAATATCCAAGGGTAATTTGGGAATTTCATAAAATTGCAAGGGCAAAATTGTCCATTCCAAAATGTTAGGGCAAAATGACCAAAATGCCCTTCTTCCATAAAACATGCCCTTTACAAACTCTTAGGGGTAAAATGGTCACTTTCCTCATTTCTCATTGAAGTCGAATTTTTCTGAAGGAATCGGGACAATCCGAAATTGCACGTTCCATTCGCAACGTCGTCCTAATGTCCCGTTGTGACTTCCAAATTTTTCCGATGTCCAATTTGGGCTCAATTAAATAATCAAATTTTATTAAACGCAACTCGAGCGTTTCTCAAACTAACGGGTGGCTTGTTGGGGAAATTCGCATATTCGACCCGTGACTGACAATAATTCAGGTCACGTGCAAGTTCATTCGGTTCGTGACGACTTCGGTTGTCATTTAATCGCGAAGATCAATTGCTAGATCCGAGGGATACGATCGTTTGGTATAGGTTCAGGATCAGTCGCCAAGTCATCTCGCGGTCCGGTGGAATCACCCGCGATCCACTACTATGGCAGTGGCGAACTGACCCCTGGCTATCCTTGGATCGGCCAATAGTAGCTCAAAATATCACCTCGACGATTTCATGGTCGAAAGTCAATTCACGATCGAATTTTCTTTTAGTCGTACGAACTTAAATCCCTAATTAGCCTTTCCCTAATGGTTAATATCCCAAGAATGATCAGTTCCGAGTGAAAACTAACTGCGAGTACATTTATAAAACTCAGTATTTTATAAATCCCAAATGAACCAATTTTCAAGATGTCACAACTCTTCCCCCCTTACAAAAATTTCGTCCTCGAAATTTACAAATCTCACCACTACCCAAAATTTACAAATCTTACTACTGCTCAAACAACTGGGGGTATTGACGTTGCATCATCTCTTCACTTTCCCAAGTTGCGCCTTCAGTCCCGTGGTGCTCCCAAATAACTTTGACCATCGGGATTGTCTTGTTCCTCAAAACTCGCTCCTTACGATCTTCGATTCATACCGGTCTCTCGACATATGACACTTTGTCATCTACTTCTATCTCCTCATAACTCAGCACATGCGTCGGGTCCGGTTCATATTTTCTCAACATCGATACGTGGAACACATTATGTACTTGCGATAAATTCGGCGGAAGTGCAAAACGATACGCTAATTCCCCGATCTTTTCTAAAACTTCAAAAGGTCCCACGTATCGTGGACTCAGCTTCCCTTTCCTACCGAACCTGGATAGTCCTCTCATGGGCGATACTTAAGAAATACGTGATCTCCTACTTGAAACTCCAAAGGTCTTCGCCTTCTGTCTGCATAACTTTTCTGACGGCTTTGCGCTGTCTTCAGCCTTTCGCGTATAATCTTAACCGCCTCAATCGATTGCTCGACTAACTCTGGCCCGGTTATAGTCCTTTCTCCCACTTCGTCCCAGCACACGGGCATTCTACAAGCCCTGCCATATAGCGCTTCAAAGGGCGTCATTCCTATGCTCTGCTGAAAACTATTGTTATAAGCGAATTGCATTAAGGGTAGTTGCTCTTCCCACTTACCTTGAAAATCCATCACACATACCCGAAGCATATCCTCTAAAGTCTGAATCGTTCTTTCAGACTGACCATCTGTTTGAGGATGATAAGCTGTACTGAACTGCAACTTGGATCCTAAAGCCGTCTGCAGACTTTTCCAAAAACTGGCAGTAAATCTAGGATCACGATCCGAGGTTATCGACACTGGTACTCCATGCAAACAAACTGCTTGCTGCACATACAATTCAGCATACCGATCTAACACGAAATCCTTTCGCACAACCAGAAAGTGTGCCGACTTTGTTAATCTGTCGACAATCACCCAAATAGAATCATGGCCTCTTTGGCTCCTTGGCAACCCCGTCACAAAATCCATAGTTATATGCTCCCATTTCCACTCTGGAATTTCCAAGGGTCGCAATAATCCTCTAGGCTTACAATGCTGTGCCTTTACCTGCTGGCACGTCAGGCACTTAGCTACATGTTTAGCGATATCCGCCTTCATACCATTCCACCAGTAGTATTGCCTCAAATTCTGATACATTTTCGTGCTCCCCGGATGAATACTATAATTACTACGATGCGCCTCCGATAAAATTTCCTCCTTAAGCTCCGCATCGTCGGGTACACATAAGTGTCAACGAAACTTTAATATCCAATCTTCAGATACCTGGAAATCTGGCTTTCTCTTGGCCTCCTCCATCTCTAAAATTTTTTGAATCTCTGGATCCGCAGACTGCAACACTCTAATCTTAGCCTCAATTTCCGGTTCAATTCTAAGCGTAGCCAGCAAACTCGAGACTTGACTTACTTCGAATCTAAACTCCGAGTCTCGCACCTTCTCTAACAATGTCCATTCCTTGACCATCAAATGCGCTATGCTTGACTTCTGACTCAACGCATCGGCTACCCGATTACCTTTCCCGGGATGATATAAAATATCGCAGTCATAATCCTTCAACAATTCCATCCACCGACGCTGCCTCATATTAAGTTCCTTTTGAGAAAATAAATATTTGAGGCTCTGATGATCGGTATAGATCTGAAATTTCTCTCCGCATAAATAATGTCGCCAAATCTTCAGGGCGAATACTATTGCGGCTAATTCCAAGTCATGCGTCGGATAATTCAACTCATGCGGTCTTAACTGCCTTGACGCATAAGCCACTACTCGCCCATTTTGCATGAGTACACACCCTAATCCTTTCAACGACGCGTCACTATATATCTCATACCCTCCGGGTCCTGATGGAATCGTCAATACTGATGCCGTTGTCAATCTATGTTTTAACTCCTGAAAACTCCTTTCACATTTATCAGTCCATTCAAATTTCGTTTCCTTTTTCAATAAATGGGTCAACGGCGTTGCTATTGCCGAAAATCCTTCCACGAAACGGCGGTAATATCCAGCCAAACCCAGAAAACTCCGAACCTCTGTTACCGTCATTGGTCTAGGCCACTTCATTACAGCTTCAATCTTCGATGGGTCCGCTGAGATTCCTTCCCCAGAAATTAAATGACCGAGAAATGCTACTCGACTGAGCCAGAATTCGCACTTGCTAAACTTAGCATACAGCGCGTTCTCCCTTAAAGTCTGCAACGCTCAATTCAAATGAAATTCATGTTTCTTTAGGCTCTTCGAGTATACTAATATATCGTCTATAAACACGATCACAAATTGATCTAAGAATTCCTTAAACACCCGATTCATTAGATCCATAAAGGCAGCAGGAGCATTCGTCAATCCGAACGGCATTATCGTAAATTCATAATGTCCATATCTCGATCTAAATGCCGTCTTCAGTATATCCTCCTTCCTAATCCTCAACTGATGATATCCCGTTCTCAAATCAATCTTAGAGAACACCGAAGCCCCTTGTAACTGATCAAACAAATCATCAATTCTTGGCAAGGGATATTTATTTTTTATCGTTACCTGATTCACCTGCCTATAATCAATACATAACCTCAATGATCCATCTTTCTTCCTCACAAATAAAAGCGGTGCTCCCCACGGAGACGCACTCGGACGAATTAATCCTTTGTCTAACAATTCTTGCATATGCACCTTTAATTCTTTTAATTCCAACAGCGACATTCTATAAGGTGCCTTCGAGATTGGCTCAGTTCCAGGTGCCAACTCTATTACAAATTCTACTTCTCTTTCCGGCGGTAATCCCGGCAATTCCTGAGAAAACACATCGGAATACTCGCACACTACCGCTATATCCTCAAGCCTCGGTTCTTCAACCGTCGAATCAACTACAGCTGCTAGAAATCCTTGACACCCTTCACTCAACAGCCTCGACATTTCTAGCGACGAAATCCATGGAATCGAGGGTCCTTCTCGACTTCCCACAAACTTGAATTCCGGATGTCCAACAGGATTAAATTGGATCACCCTGCTATTGCAATCCATTACGGCCCTCTGCTTAGATAGCCAGTCCATTCCTACTATTACATCAAAATCGTACATGGCTAGAACCGCTAAATCAATCTTTTTCTCCCTATCCCCAATCACAATCTTACAGTCTGGACACCCCGTTGATACTACCATCTCATCATTCAAGGGAGTTGTCACGCACAGCAAAACATCAAGCAATTACGGTTCTATTCCAATCAACTCAACAAACTGCTTAGACACAAAAGAATGTGACGCCCCAGGGTCAAATAAAGCATACGCAGCATGGTTGCACAGAGAAATCGTACCTGTGACAACCCCTGGCGCGTTCTCAGCCTCTCTTCTGGCCATGGCATACACTCGTACTTGTGCCTGAGGCCTATTCTGATTTGCTGTCTGGGCCGCTCCAGTCTGATTTCCGATTCGAGGTGGCGGCAACGCAGGCGGCCTGCTCTGTCTGGGATTGGGGCAAGTCCTTATATGGTGACCAAAACCTCCACACCCAAAACACGTTCTGCCCCAGGTTGGACAAGGTCCATTTCCATGCCTTCCTCCACATATCCTACATGGACCATTCTGATTTCGGGCTGACTTCCCAATATTTCTTCTAACGGAAGGAGTAAAACGTCTATTATCCAACATCGGCCTCTCCCAGGATTACGATTGTCCCTACCCTGGACAAATCTCGATCCAAAAGCGGCGGCCCTATCCACCTGATCCCGTTCTAGAATTTGGGCCCTATCAAATATTTCCTCGTACGTTCTCCAGTTTACCAGTAACAACTGGCTGCAAATATCAGCCTTCAATCCGTCCCGAAATCTTCGCGCCTTATCATCGGGATGTTCTACCATTCTCGGCGCAAACTTAGACAATCTCGCAAATTCCGCCTCGTACTGATCTACCGACATCTGGCCCTGGCGGAGTCTCATAAACTCTGATAGCTTTCTCTCCCTAGCGCTGGCCGAGAAATACTTCTCATAAAAACTTTCAGTAAAAACAGTCCAAGTTCGGGCAGTACCTTCCGGTAATATTCTATCCCCGGTGGCCTTCCACCAATTATTCGCATTATCCTGCAATTGATACACAGCCAGAGTTACCTTCTCATTATCAGTGCACTCTAACACTTCAAAGTCTTTCTCGAGTTCCTCTACCCATCTAGGTGCAGCCTCAAGGTCACCTTTCCCAGAGAACTTAGGCGGTTTTAGCTTTATAAACTGCTCTACCAGTTGATGCATCGGTCTATTCACAGTCCCTTGCCCCTGCCCTTGATTCTCATGATTATTAACGGCATCAGCGGCCTCGGCTGCTTGGGCAATCGTAGCAGCTCGTGCCTGAGTCTGCTGTCCTAACAGATTTTCGATCTGTTCTAATGTTCTCATAACTGTTTCCATTCTAGGGTCCTCAGCAGGTCTAACTTTGACTCTGGGGTCCACTGCAGCTCCAGCATCAACCTCAAGATTTTCTATCGCTCCTGCACCCATTCCAAGGTCCTCTACAGCTCTAGCTCGAGCATGACCTCTACCCCTAATTCCTCTTCCTGCGCCCCTACTTGGGACTCTTTCTACACCTCTTCCTTCGCTGCTCATTATATCAGCTTTCTATCACTCTACTACCTGCTATAAATCCACTCAGGAATTAGTAATCTAGGCCAACTAGATCTATCCAGCCCCAAGCAGTGAATTAATGCAAAGATTCACTCAGCATGCAATCAAGTACTACGAGCACAAAGCCACAATTAATAGGGTCTGAACACTCACCTCAGGTCCAGACGCACCTGCATTTCAATTGTCACAACAATCAACTCAATCAATTAATCACAACAACCAATCTGGAGGCACGTATAGCTCATACCGCCCTACAACTCACTAATGTCTCCCTAAATACTACCCCAGGGTCTTTGCTCCTTGTTACTCCAAACGTCGACCAGATTAGATCGAGTTAACCTTGCACTAATACCAATTCAAACGGGGATGTCACGCCCCGAACCCATCGAGCACACGACACCCTCTACTGGTCTCTTCAGGCAACGTCCCAGGGTATCGTCGACCTCACTTATCATTTTCAGATATTTAAATCAACAGCGGAAACCACGAATTTCCCGAACAATTAAAACTGGGATAATCAGGGAGAATATACATATTCATTTCTGACTATCAAACTTATACCATATTCACAATTTACAAAACCACCACATATACAAGCACACCAAACTACGATCCACCAATTTACATAAGCACACCGTACTACAACCATCGATATCAAAACGGACCGATGACCTGGATGTCCTATCCTCAAAAATGGTACTCCTCTAAAGACCTATCTCCAACCCCTATGCTAGCCCCTACGCCCCTTACTCGGCGTCCACTCTGAATCAGACTCCTCATCATCCGAATCTAAGTCCCCTTGGACGGTCTGCTCCTCCGAGGACTCCGGCTCGGCCTCAATCTCGATTGGGTGATTTATATCACCCGATTCAACTGGAACTTCATCCTGATCTCCCTCGATCGGCTCCTCAAGGAAACCATCCTCAGGCACGAAATTAGGGTCCATCCACTGCTCAAACGGAAGTATATAATCCGGTTCTTCGTCAGGCTCTGCAGACTCAGCAGGCTCATTCTCGGGTTTCGCCTCGGGCTCTACCTCCTCTGGTTCTTCCTCAGGAATTGGCTCTAGATCTATATCCATTGGGTCGAATTCTGCTTGCGATCCTTCGGGCTCGGGTTCATGCTCAGCCCCTGAAGATTCTTGTGCTGCAGGGGCTGGATGCAATCCAGATTGCGCTAAACTAGTTTCCGCACTAGTCAATTCTCCGTCTATAGGGAGAATAGCAGACGGGTCCCAATCTCCAACCAAATCAAAAGGAACATCAAAACCCCTGACGGGCCCGAACTCATCGACTCCATCCCGGAAGAACCAGGCAATGTATACATGGGTCTCCCATAAAGGTAGTCTTACGTCTACAAAGACCGTAGTAGTGTGCTTAATCCAGGTCATGTTGTCGCCCATAGGAAACTCTGCAACCTCATACTCGGTGTGCACTGGTACCCCAAAACGTTCCGGCGGCGGCGGCGGGGGATTCATGGTTCCTGCCGGGATTCTGAAATGTTGGGTTGCAACAACCGTGAGAATATATCTCGGTATGTACACCCCTAAACCCCACCTAGGCTATCACGTACCTCCAGACAATCATAGAACACAATCACACACACAATCATCACATAGCAGGCACATCAATTGTTCTTACCTGGTCCTAACCTGCTTGCACCCTGCACGTCAGTCTTTACCACACCATATACAATCACATGCATGATCAAATCTCATTTCACGCATTCATTCCGTTTTCATCATGTCTTTTCCACATCCTCGCCAGTGACCCGCGTTACAGTACACGCCTCAGGTCCACTGCGACTATCTCATCACAACACTCTAGGGCCCGCGTTGCAGTACATGCCTCAGGCCATGTATCTCACCCGCGTTGCAGTACACGCCTCAGGCTCAACATCTACCACCTACTGCACAACCCGCGTTGAAGTACACGCCTCAGGCTGGCAGTCTTCCGGTAATACCGGGCATCGTCCCGCGTTGCAGTACATGCCTCAGGACGGCGCAATTTCCACAATCGCACATGCCACACCACGTTCACTCTCTTACTCATGCACATACTCAACAATCATTTGCCACACGTAATTGGCCCGTCACACATGGCCCGTGCACGCATCAATTCACACACAATTCATGCTCACTAAGCATTTGACATGGCCAACTTAACAATTAATTCAATTTGGCCCAAGCGTGCACCCGATAGGCATATTTCAATCATTTAATTACACAACCATGCACTCAATTTTATCCCCACAACTCAGTCATAGTTCAAACACACATTAAACACACAATTTGCCATTTTTCTCCAACCAAACGGCGGCAAATCAATTCCGGCCCTTCACGACACTTTCCCACAACTAATTGCCGGTTCTAAATATCCAATTTACACCCCGATCGGCACATCACAGCCCACCGAACGGCCAATCACAGCCACCTATTGACCTCAAAATTTCCATTAAAAATTTTCCGAGTTCAATCCTAGGGCCGCTAATCGATTCCGCTCCTAAATCGTACATTTTCATACTCACATAAACCCGATTTCATTCAAAAATTATCCGTCGATACCCGACATCCTAAATTGGGTTTAGGACACGACTTACCGAGTTCTAGACTAACGCGGCTAGAACGGAAAGCGGCGGCGAACGGCGGGGACGGCTGCGAGCGGCGGCGCGGCTTGGCGGCGTGGACGGCGAAGGCGGTGGCGAGCGGCGGTGGCCTTCCTTGGCCGACCAGCTCACGGCCAAGAGAGAGAGAATCGGGAGGGAGAGGGGACGGCGTGAGGGTCGGGGCTGCTCGGTGGCGTGGACGGCGGCGACCGGACGGGCGTGACCGGCGGCGGCGGTGAGGGCACGGCGGCGAGCGGCCAAAGGGGGCGATTGGCGATGGAGGAAGGGGGAGAGAGAGTGGCCAAGAGCTTGGGGGAGAGAGAGAGAGAGAGAGAGGGGGTCTAGACTTAAATAGTGAATTTTGACCCAAAATGGCAAATGACCATCATGCCCTTGTCTCATAAACCAAATCAACGGTCCAGATTTGATCTTATCTTGAAACCGACGGTCGAGATCGAATCTTGCCCAAAATATCCAAGGGCAATTTGGGAATTTCATAAAATTGCAAGGGTAAAATTGTCCATTCCAAAAAGTTAGGGCAAAATGACCAAAATGCCCTTCTTCCATAAAACATGCCCTTTACAAACTCTTAGGGGTAAAATGGTCACTTTCCTCATTTCTCATCGAAATCGAATTTTTCTGAAGGAATCGGGACAATCCGAAATTGCACGTTCCATTCGCAACGTCGTCCTAACGTCCCGTTGTGACTTCCAAATTTTTCTGATGTCCAATTTGGGCTCAATTAAATAATCAAATTTTCTTAAACGCAACTCGAGCGTTTCTCAAACTAACGGGTGGCTTGTTGGGGAAATTCGCATATTCGACCCGTGACTGACAATAGGTCACGTGCAAGTTCATTCGGTTTGTGACGACTTCGGTTGTCATTTAATCGCGAGGATCAATTGCTAGATCCGAGAGACACGATCGTTTGGTATAGGTTCAGGATCAGTCGCCAAGTCATCTCGCGGTCCGGCGGAATCACCCGCGATCCACTACTATGACAGTGGCAAACTGACCCCTGGCTATCCTTGGATTGGCCAACAGTGGCTCAAAATATCACCTCGACGATTTCATGGTCGAAAGTCAATTCACGATCGAATTTTCTTTTAGTCGTACGAACTTAAATCCCTAATTAGCCTTTCCCTAATGGTTAGTATCCCAAGAATGATGAGTTCCGGGTGAGAACTAACTACAAGTACATTTATAAAACTCAGTATTTTATAAATCTCAAATGAACCAATTTTCAGGATGTCACAAAAGATATGGGCAAAAAGTCATCATAGTATAACCATCTCAGCAACTCTCCCACTTCTTTAATTTTTAAATCGGGTCTTGCTTATTTGGGCCTCCTTCAGAAGTTAGACTATTCTGTTTCTAGCTATTATCGTTCGTCTCAAAACCCCAAAAAAGAAGCAAGTCCATATTCATCGTTTTAGGCAGAACAAAAGAATGCATGGCTTCTAAGTATATCTTATGTACTTTGGTACTAATTGGTATATTACTAGTCATTACTAACGGGGATATGTCATCAACTCGAAAGTCTTCATGCTGCAGATGAGGAACGTTTCTCCTCAAACAATCTCGATGGCCACCTCAATCTTTTTCTGATGTGAAACAATGTCAGAAGATAGGATCTTTCCCGGGTCATGCTTCTTCCAATTTATGCTCATGAGTTAAAAACAGCGAAGAAGAAGAAGCCGCAATACAAGGATGTAAAGTTAAACATAGATCGCTTCCATAGGAGATTATGTGAAAAGTTAAAGCTGCAGAGGAGGAATTCAAACTAACTGCCACATGGTCTTGGTTGTTTTGGAATGACTGCTTCGACTTTTAAAGATAAAGCTTCTGAATAACGCTTGGTAATCAGCAGAGCAACTTGTTCAATAAACTGGAGAGAGATTCTTATAAAGAATGATCGTTCATTACTCAAACTTTCATGATCAGTTACAAAGAGAGCAATTCTTTTATTGCGAAGCAATTATCAATCTCAGCAATCATGTATGGAGAAGACGGGCAATCCAATGTCTTGGAGATCAATGTATACACTTAGTTGTTGTCATACCAAAACTGCGCCTGGAGGTAGTCAACAACCTTCTTGTCCACTTGGAAGGCCTTGGTGAGAACATCAGCCGAAATGGGTGGCTTCGATCCAAATACCGCATTAGCAATGGTAATGACTCCTGGGTTCTGGCTGCTCAGAGCAGCAAAGGCCAGTGCAGGGGTCTTTCCAATGTTCAGCTGGAAGTGGATGAGACCGATTGGGAACACAAACACATCCCCTTTGTACAACACTTTGGTGAAGAAGGTGTTGTTTAATTGGTTGGATGTGACGAAGCCAACAAGCAGTGTGCCCTCAGTGACAACCAGAATCTCAGTCCCACGAGGGTGAGTATGGGGAGGGTTCAGGCCACCAGGAGCAAAGTCAATACGAGCCATGGAAATGCCAAGAGTGTTGAGTCCTGCAAATTGGTCGACGAAAGCGGGCGTGACTTTTGATCCGAGCGGGTTCGCGGTATTCCCTGGGTATCTGAACCCCTTGAAGAGAAAATCATCTGCTGTGACTTGTTTTGGATCCTTGCAAAACTTCCCATTCACAAATACTGCATAAGAAACATAATTCTTGTTATTAGGCTTATCTAAGCGTAAATTCTTTTTGGGTAGATTTTTTAGCATCAGTAGAACAGAAATATACAAATGACGCTAGAGCAGAGCTCCAACCTTCGGGGTCATTGATGGCCACACAGAAGTCCTGAAGAGGACTTGGGTCGAAGGCAAAAGCGGTGGCAGTTGCCAGAGCCAAGATGAGAAGGCTAGTTGGAAGAAACTTCATTGCGGTTGTGGACAGGAGATTTCAGGCTTGGATATCTTCTTCTTCTTTTGTTTGCTTGAGCCTTGAGATAGGAGTGAGATGCCTTGCATGGACACAGGATCCCTTTTTATAGATGAAATTAGTGTTGACCTGGTATTATGTTTCTATGATAAGCAACACCTGACAGGTACCAAGTCTCCAGCGTGCTAGTCAATTTCTCATGTACAGATTAGAATTGTTCCACAACTGCTACGTTGACACGCCCATTTCTATTTTTTTGTTTGGTGGGTATAACACCCATTACTTTGACCTATTCTCTTTTCCACTAACCTGAAATGGAAGTGGTCTTCTTCGATAGTATTTAAATCTTTGGGATATGTTTATTAGAAGTCCTAAAACTTGTCTTGAAAGTACAATTTAGCCGCATCATCACCATATATAATAGAGAAAATATTAAAAAAAGCCACGTTTGACAACACCTTCGCAGACCTATCAAAAGCAACTTAGGAACACCATCCTAAATTCAACTATTAATAAATAATGATTATTTCCTCGCAAACTATTAAGAACAAAAATTGGCACATGCAATGGTAAATTCCATCAAGATCCTTGTACAGTCCCCATTGCTTAGCAGTTACTGGCACCCAATATGTCTATAACTCCAATAC